ACGTCCAAAGAGTTATTTTCAACTGGTTTGCATTTTATTCTTCTGTGCTGCTTTTATGGGGGAATCACACATTTTGATAAAAGTAACTAGACTGAATTATACACCGGGAAATTACTTCTTACTTGCGATAGCATGAGAGTGGCAACTCAAATACAGAATTGTAGAAAATACCTTTCCAAGAAAGTTGTTATGCATGAATTTGCAGTTGCACCTAGCCAGACTCAGGAAGTACAGCATTGCTATTCCTCAGACCTAAAGAGGCAATGGCATGCTGTGGTCAAGGACTCTCAGCTACAACAACAGGTCAGTGCAGAAAAGACCCATAGAGGAGCAGGGGGTTTGTTCCTAAAAAATCCTGACACAGCCGTGCCGCACTTCTCCACTCGTGACTATTTCCTGGTAATGTTTTTGTTATCTGACCCAGATAGAATGCAAATGGGGATTCCTTTTAATTAAAAACTCAGCTAATTCATTAAAAGAAAAATTAATGGATTTGGCCTCTCTGGCAATCTATAAGGGTCTTGAAGGTCCCTCAAGCATGGGATCATAGAGAGATTTTTGGTATCTTCTCAAAAACAAAGGAAAGTAGAGCAGAGAAGAAAGAGAAAAACAACAGAAGAGATGCAGAGAGAAAAACTCAAAGATGTGATATTAATGTGATTTCAGGAAACCCCTTTTTGTACATTTAACTATGCTTCCCCCAAGGGACAACATCACAATACATGTTTAAGGAAGGCATGTCCAGGGGTTATAGGTGAACACTACCATCACCACTTTCATGCTGACTGTAGCTGATGTCCACCACCTCCATTCTCATCAAAATATGACTTCTCTCCTGCTGTTTCACAAGGTTTTTCGCTATGGATTTCATTCATCCACAATTGTGACTGCTATCCTGCTTGTAGTCTGAGTAGTGCTCCTGTGCTTTTTCATTATTTTCTTCTAATAGACACAGAGTGTTGTGATGTACACAAGTTTGTCAAGGGGTTAATCCTTTCATGGGTAGACAGATTAGTTTACGAAGTAACTGTGGTATGAGCATAACATGAATTCCCACCTCCAGAGTAATCCAGGCCTGGCAGCGCATGCCAATAACTCCCAATAACTGGGAATGCAGAGACCAGAGGATCCATGAAGTTTACTAGTCTGCTGTTGAGTCTGTGAGCTCCATGTTCAGTGAGAAACTCTGTTTCAAGAAGTAAAGTAGTGATCTATTGAAGAAAATCTTGACATCTACCTGTAACTGCTACAAACACCAGGTACAAACACACACACACACACACACACACACACACACGCACACGCACACGCACACGCACACGCACACACACACGCGCACACACACACTGTACTGTTAGTGAGGCAGTTTTTCTGGATTGGAATTCATACTGATAGAGACAGGTATAATCACTGATCCTTCTATGCTGTAATTCCATCCTCAGAAAACTGGTTTAAAAAAACCCTCATTCTTACATCACATGCTCTAGGGGTCATTCAACGTGAAATATAGGTAAGCTTTTAAAGAATGAATTCATTTAGTCCATATATGAGCTCATCCTGTTCCTCTACTAAGTAAAGTCTAGTTGCATTTGCCTATTCATCACTGTTTGAATTTCAATTGCTGCACCTTCTCAGCTTCACTTCAGTCTCCACAGAAAGCTTTTGTCATCAGAGAAAACTCTCCATCTTCTATGATCTTCTAGAAGAGAAGATGGAGAAGGCACATGTTATGTTAGGTTTTTCTTTCTCATTTACCACACACCACTTAGCAGTCCTCTATTAGACATGCCTATGTTTCAGGTCCCTCTCTGCAGCAGCACTCAGACCTCACCTCTCCTTCCTTCTTCCTCCTTCCTCTGATAAACAATCTTGTCACAATCACATCCATCCACAGACTGTGCATCTAAGTGCGTCCTGCTGCTCAACTAAGCTGTGTTGGGTCTTTGCCTCATTGTCCTGCCCATGACCAGTGTCAATGAATATACAGAGGGCTTTTGACAAAAAGAGTTAGGAATGTTGAGAATTTCTTTATCACTTTGTCAGTGCGGGACAATGACTTTTGTTGCATTTGCCTTTTTAATTTATACATGATTCATCATTCAATTCTGTTTTGCATGTGTGCATTCATTCATGAATAAACAATGTCAAGGACTCATACAATCTGAGAATGAGGATATAAATACATCCTATCTTCAGTCTGATGCACTGAGACATTTCTAGGATATATGGTATTTAAATAAAGGATCCAGTGAATTATTATCCTTTAAATTTTAAATTGGATGCTTTTCTTTCTCTTGATTTGTTGCTTTTATGAAGATTTCAAGGCAATGCTGAATACAGCCGGTCAAGAGGTCCTACTTGTTTCATATTTATAAACAATTTTGTGTTTGCCAAATTCAGAGGCTATCTCTTTGTGCTATATTTCATTTACTATGGTAGGCTCTCCTATTTCTTTTTTTTAAGATTTATTTATTTATTTATTTATTATGTATACAGCATGTATGACTGCAGGCCAGAAGAGGGCACCAGATGTAGCTAGAGTTTTCCTGCCTGGCCTATAGTCAGGACAAATCTCTCTCACCCACCAGCCCCACAGCCACTCAGACCCAACCAAGTAAACACAGAGACTTCTATTGGTTACAAACTGTATGGCCATGGCAGGCTTCTTGCTAAATGTTCTTATATCTTAAATTAATCCATTTCCACAAATCTATACCCTGCCATGCGGCTCATGGCTTACCGGCATCTTTTCATGCTACTTGTCAGGGTGGTGGCTGGCAGTGACTCCTTCTGCCTTCCTGTTCTTTTATTTCTCCTCTCTGTTAGTCCTGCCTATACTTCCTGCCTAGCCACGGGCCAATCAGCGTTTTATTTATTGACCAATCAGAGCAACACATTTGCCATACAGAACATCCCACAGCATAGCTAAGTGCAGACCATCTCAGACACCTGCACTCAGGCCCGTGGTCCTAATCAACCTCTATGCGGACCTGCTGGGTAAAGCCACGAGGAACCCAAGAATGGGCTCCCACAGGACATACAGAACATCCCACAGCAACCAGATCTCATTAGAGATGGTTGTGAGCCACCATGTGATTGCTGAGAATTGAACTCAGGACCTCTGGAAGAGCAGCCAGCGCTCTTATCCTCTGAGCCATCTCTTCAGGCCCCATCTTTTTAAAAGATTTTATTTTATTACATATACAGCATTCTGTATGCATGTCAGAGAGGGCACCAGATCTCATTCTAGATGGTGGTGAGCCACCATGTGTGTGCTGGGAATTGAACTCAGGACCTTTGGAAGAACAGCCAGTGCTCTTAACCTCTAAGCCATCTCTCCAGGCTCGCTATCCTATTTCTTATCCAAGTTTCTTCTCAGATTATCACCCTGGGTAGCATTCAGTTTTGTCCCTTCATTTGCTACATATATTGAAATGATCAATTTGGCTTCATATTTATGCTCTTTATTATATTAATTTATTTATTTAGCCATGTTTAACCACCGTTGTGTAGCTGAAGTTTTCTCCAGTCCTGCCTGGCCCACGATCAAGACAAATCTCTCTCAACCGCCAGTCCAACAGCCACTCAGACCCAACTGAGTACACACAGGGACTGCTGTGGGATGTTCTGTGTGGCAAATGTGTTGCTCTGAATGGTCAATAAATAAAACACTGATTGGCCCATGGCTAGGCAGGAAGTATAGGCGGGACTAACAGAGAGGAGAAATAAAAGAACAGGAAGGCAGAAGGAGTCACTGCCAGCCACCACCCTGACAAGTAGCATGAAAAGATGCCGGTAAGCCATGAGCCGCATGGCAGGGTATAGATTTGTAGAAATGGATTAATTTAAGATATAAGAACATTTAGCAAGAAGCCTGCCATGGCCATACAGTTTGTAACCAATAGAAGTCTCTGTGTTTACTTGGTTGGGTCTGAGTGGCTGTGGGACTGGTGGGTGAGAGAGATTTGTCCTGACTATAGGTCAGGCAGGAAAACTCTAGTTACAACTGACTGTTCAATCTTTATGTCATTGTATGTTATTTTATTGTTACTTTTGGTGACCACATCTTTTTTTATTTAATATAATTTCTTTATTGTATCTTCTGGAATTTCACATCATGCACCCTAATTCACTCACATCCCAGGCCCTCCATATCCTACCCTTACTCCTGCAGTGCCCCCCAAAAGAAAATTGATCAAACCAAACCAAGCAAACAAACAAAAAGAAACAAAAATCTCTTTGCTCCTCCATCTATTCCTGCTTCTCCAACACCTCTTCATTCATCTTAGTGGCAATGGGTACTGCCAAACAGTATACCCTTTTTCCAATCAGCTTTACTTGAAATGTTCATTGTAACGAGTCATTGGTCTAATTCAAGTCCTCTGGTTTCTGTTATACCATCATCAATGGATCCTCATTAAAAATCATCTTTGATATCCTGAGGCCACTTGGAGTCACTGAGATCTTGTGGGTATCATTTCACAAGACCAGTCCCTTCACCATCTCTAGCAGGTCCCAAGTGTTGTAGATATTAGCATGGTGCAACCTTAGATCTGGCTGTGGGCTTGGGTAGGTAGTTGATCTGGTCAGTCCAGACCACTGGGGTCGTCCCCTCAGGTAAGGGACAGAGCCAGGTGATGCCATCATGGTCAGTTCTCACTCTTCCATGAGGAGGGGTGGGGCAATCTCTCCAAAGTGTGGGGGCCAGCTCTGTCATGAGGGTTGGGGCCAGCTCTCTTACTGCAGTGTTCAATGAAGGGCATGGTCAGTTATACTATGGTCAGTGAATGGTGGGGCTGGCTCAACATAGCTCTCTGATTTCATCAGGAATGTATCCTATGCTCCCCTGGAGTGACAAAGGCCACAGACATCAACACATACACAGCTGCAGCAGGACCATGGACTTAGACATGGCCCTCAGCAGCAGCTTAGGCCTGGGTGACATCCTGGCTCTGGGTGGAAGCAGAGGCCACACAGATCAGGATGGCTCTGGTGGTGGCATGGCTCCTGGACACCAACAAGGCTACAGGTTGCAGCCCCTATTCCAGGCTTCTATGTATACTTTGGTGGCAACACAGACCTGGCTGTGGTGGGACCATAGACCCAAACAGAGTATTCAGCAGCAGCCAGGTCCAGATGTTACCGTGGCCCCAGATGGTGGTAAAGGACACACAGATCAACCTGTCTCCAGTGGCAGCATGGCCCTCAACCAACATGGCTCTAGGTATTGGCTTAGACACCAGGAATCTGCATGGCCCTCATGATGAAAGGATCCATGGACACCAACCAGAGATCCTGGCTGCAGTATGGCCACAGAATCAGACATAGCTTCCAGTAGTAGCCCTGGCCCCGACATCACCATGGCTTCAGATAACAGAATGTGCTGCTTTGGTCTGTATGGCACCAATGTAGCATGGCCCTTGATCACCAACATGGTCCCAGGTGGCTGAACAGTCCTCATTCTGCACCCTTGGTCAGTGTGGGAAAGAAAAACTTTCAATTCTTCAAATGTCTCTGTGGCTTCAGGGGTAAGAAATACAAACCTACTAAGAATGTCTATTGGGGATGTGGAGTGGAAAGAAAGCTCTAAATGATGCTACCTGCCCTCCTACACTGATCTTTTCCAGACTGTTTACATCCATGTAAGATCTCACAGCTCCTCTCGGGGTTTGGGACACTATTTCCAAATGGAGGTGCTCCCTAGCTTCCTCTGAAGCACAGCTCATGCTTTTTATGCCAGAGACCTGTGCCTCTGCATGTAGGTACAAGTCACAATCAGAATAACATTACTCCAAATTTTTAACTACCCTTGAACTTATGGTTAATTGAACTTATGGTTCAATTGCTCATTTGTTATAGTATAGTAACTCTCCCCTGTAACCCTGTAGAGAACTGGACACTGGTGACATAATAACAAACAGAAAAGTGATTGTTGTCATTTAAGGCTTCTCTGGCTTCTAGTTTTCAAATTTTAAAATGAAGACTCAGCCCTTCTAGCATAAGAATTGTGACTGTTTGCACACAGGTCTTCATAAGAAGTCCCATTCCCTTCATGACTCTCATTCAGGATTCCATTTTTCCCATTTGGTTGACTCCTTACAGTGTCTTGGGGGCAGCTATAGCTTGTTCCAGCATCTTCCATATTCCTACACCAGAGAAGGAACCTCATCCCTAGAACAGAAAGAAAGTTAGTTTCAGAATTCTGTCTCTTCCTGACACAGCACAAGATGCTTAGCAACTGGACTGGGACCATCAAATACCCCAACATCACTAGAGGCAGTGGTCTGTAGATATACTGAATGGCACAAACTGGATTTAAAGAAGTTTCTAGCATTGTGGGTGTTTGATGAATTACTTACTCTCTGCAAGCCTGTTTCCTCTTCTTATGAACCTGTGCCAGACATTCCCACATAGCCACTTGGTCTTGACAGAAAGTTTCATGTGTTCATATCTCTATTTGCTTCGCAGGAACACCAGTGGAACATTCTCAAGTATTGGTCCATCCACCCCAGTCTGGAGTACTGACAACACAACAATGAATGAAAGTTACTATACTGGAAGCTTACTCTGTGACACCATATACAAAATCTTCAGTATTCTTACCGTCATCATTTGCATGGTTGGGCTGACAGGAAATGCCATAGTACTGTGGCTTCTGGGCTTCCACATGCACAGGAATGCCTTCTCAGTCTATGTCCTCAACCTTGCTGGGGCTGACTTTCTCTACATGTGCTCTCAAAGTGTGTTTTCCCTGAGACATATCTTTATTCTGTTTGATGTCGGCTACTTCAATATTCCCTTCATTCTACCCAATGTATTAATCTTTGCTTACCTTGCAGGCTTATGTATGATTACAGCCATCAGTGTTGAGCGATGTCTGTCAGTTTTGTGTCCCATCTGGTATCACTGCCGGAGACCAAGACACATGTCATTTGTCCTGTGTTCCCTGCTCTGGAGCTTCTCTCTACTGTTAAGCCTCCTGTTATGGTTGGGTTGCAATTATTTCTGTGACAGTGCTATTTTAACTATTGTTGTATTTATAACAGTAATATCTGTTGTTACTTGTGGATTCAACCTGACCCTGTTGGTCAGGATCTTCTGTGGCTCACAGAGGATTCCTGTGACCAGGTTGTATGTGACCATTGCACTCACAGTGCTGGTCTTCTTACTCTTTGGTCTGCCCTTTAGTATCTATTTGGTAATTGACTTTTTGAGTGAGACATCTAGAGTTTTTTCTTGCGATTTTTATAATTTGACAGCTTTCCTGTCCTGTGTTAACAGCTGTGCCAACCCCATCATTTACTTCCTTGTTGGCTCCATTAAGCATCGCAGGTTCCAGAGGCAGACTCTGAAGGTTCTTCTGCAGAGAGCCATGCAGGATACTCCTGAGGAAGAAGATGGAGAGAGGGCTTCTTCAGGATATACTGGACAGCAGGAAACAGCTTTGTGTAGTAGTTGAGTGAGTCCTTGATCAGACCTTTGAGAATCAACTTGGCCTTTATCTGTGTGGGCCATTTTCATAACCTTGTTTAATTGGTTGAGAAAATAGTCATTTTGTAGAAATTGGGTGAAATGGGGCTTGTTAAATAGAACTGACTGCAGCTCCATAAAGCTGCCTTATGTGGGCCTCACTACATCCCCTTGTGATATAAACCATTAATCAAATCACTTGAGACCAGGGCAGCTCCATTATAGACAAAGCCCTCCCTACAAAGAAGGCCCAAGGCAGTACAGGGAAGGTCAGGGTTTCTTTGGTCATTGAACATGATAAAGATTAAATGAATACTGTATTTAATAGAAACCTCCCTATTTTACAAGTTGTTTTTTAAATGTTAAGATAAATAATTGAAATTCCCATAACTCCAGTTTCCTCCAATATCCTCACATTTTAGAATATATGTATAATTCTAAACTGTTCCTTATATAAAATGCCTAGCAAACATATATGCATCTTTAAGACTGCATATTCTAAATCTTCATTCACCCATTTGAGTCTAGAACTTCAAATATCTGCCATCTTCCTCACTGAAAGAATAAGAGCAGGTTTTATACATCGACATCCAAGCACTCTTTAAGGTAGAGAAAAACTGTCTCCAGTTTCCTCCTTTCCCAATGCCTTGGTTAGCATTCCATGATCATGTCTTCCCTCTTCTTCCCTGTCTTTGGCCTGATTCTCTCTCTGTGACTGTCTAAGCCATGATGAAAAAATTTCCAAGAGTGTCATTGAACTTATTTGCTCTTGAATTGAACCTCTGTCATATATACATTCTTCCCAAAAGTGCATAGCATCCATAACTTGAATTATGAGTGTTCACATTTTCCTTTTAAAATGAGTCTGAGTATTGAAGCTTGGTAGGAATGTTTAACTGTTTCCTTCACTTGGCAGTTTGTATAGTATTTTCTGGAACCATGGAAGTCATACCACAGGAAAGAGATCAGCTCAAGCTCAAATCATTTGAGTCCTTTGTCCTAAATGTGAAGTGTCTTCAGCAATACCAACCTACCCTAAACTACTAAGAAATGACCAAAGGTTACATCTATATTCCATATTGTTTGAGAAGTCACGGGACTATCCTGACCAACCATTTAAAAATGAGGTGTCTCATGCTTGGAACTGCCTCTGTGGGTATATTGTCAGCCCAAGTGGCTTCCTTTAATATATGTGTGTGAATATATAAACACACACACACACACACACACACACACACACACATATATATATATATATATATATATACATACATATATATTCATGTATGTGTATTATTTCAAGAAAAGATAAAATAATACAATTCCTTAAGGCCTTAACAAAACACCTTCCTATTATTTGTCCCTTGTCCCTCTTCTTCCTTCTTTATTGAACTTCCACCCTTTACCCCAGTCAGATCCCCTCCCCATTATTCCAATTGTGAATTTACATCATCTCTATCTTGCTATTACCTCCCAAACCCCCCAACATATGGTCTCTATACTTTTCTGGTGTGTGGTTATTTCATATTGTATATGCACATCTTGAAATTTAAAGCTTGAGCTACAGAAAAGAAAGACTGTGTGTCATTTGTCTTTGTGGACAGGAGTCCATTTGCAAAACAATTGAAACAAACAATTGATAAGTGAGTCTTCATAAAACTAAAAAACTTCTGCACAACTAAGGAAGCAATCAGACAGGTAAAGAAGAAACCCACAGGATGGAAGAGAATCTTTGCCAGTTATACACCAGATGGAGGATTAATATTCAGAATATATAAAGAATTTCAAAAATGAAGAGTCCAAAAACCAAATTACCATTTGAAAAATGGACTGAGACCCAAACCGAGAGTTCTGAAGAGGATAATAAAAAATTGCTGATAAAATCTTGAATGTCTTTATCATCCTAATCAATGAGAAGAATGCAAACTAAAACAACTTTGATATTTCATGTTGCCCCAGGCAGCACATTTCAAATCAACACCCAAAACATCAACATCTCTAGTATCCTCCTGTGAGTGAGTACATACCATATTTATCTTTCTGAGTCTGGGTTACCTCACTCAGGATGATTTTTTTCTAGATCCATCCATTTGCCTACAAACCTCATGATGTCATTGTTTTTCTCTGCTGAATAGTATTCCATTGTGTATATGTACCACAATTTATTTATCCATTATTCAGTTGAAGGGCATCTAGGTTTTTTTCCAGGTTTTGGCTATTACAAACAATGCTGATATGAACATAGCTGAGCAAGTGATCTTGTGGTATGATTGAGCATTTCTTGGGTATATGCCCAAGAGTGGTATAGCTGCATCTTGGGGAAGATTGATTCCCAATTTTCTAAGAAAGCACCATATTGGTTTCCAGAGTGGTTGTACAAGCTTGCATTCCCACCAGCAGTGGAGGAGAGTTCCCCTAGTTCCACATCCTCTCCAGCATAAGGTGTCTTCAGTGTTTTTGATCTTAGCCATTCTGACAGGTGTAAGGTGGTATCTCAGAGTTGTTTTGATTTGCATTTCCCTGATGATTAGGGATGTTGAGCAATTCCTTAAATGTCTTTCAGCCATTTGAATTTCCTCTGTTGAGAATTCTCTGTTTAGTTCTATAGCACATTTCTTAATTGGACTGTTCGTCATTTTGGTGTCTAATTTCTTGAGTTCCTTATATATTCTGGGTAGCAGTCCTCTGTCAGATGTGGGGTTGGTGAAGACCTTTTCCCACTCTGTAGGCTGTCACTTTGCCTTGTTGACCATATCCTTTGCTCTACAAAAGCTTCTCAGTTTCAAGAGATCCCATTGATTGATTGTTTGTCTCAGTGTCTGTGCTACTGGTGTTATATTTAGGAAATGATCTCCTATGCCAATGCATTCAAGACTACTTCCTACTTTCTTTTCTAGCAGGTTCAGAGTAGCTAGACTTATGTTGAGGTCTTTGATCCACTTGGACTTAAGTTTTGTGCATGGTGACAGATATGGATCTATTTGCAGCCTTGTACACATTGATATCCAGTTATGCCAGCACCATTTGTTGAAGATGCTTTCTTTTTTCCATTGTACACTTTTGGCTTCTTTGTCAACAAGGATGACTGGACTGATACTCATCTCCAGGGAGGCTACCTGGAAAACAGGACCCCAAGAAAGACATGAGGATCATCCAATGACAGAGAAATGGCTGAGATCTACATGAACAACCTGGACATGAGTGGGAGTAATGAAGGGCGAGGGTCGAGGGAAAGAGAGCCTGTGGGAGTGGGAGATCCCAGCTGGATCAAGAACAGAGAGGGAGAATAAGGAATGGGAGACCATGGTAAATGAAGACCACATGAGAAAAGGAAGAAACGAAGTGCTAGAGAGGCCCACAGAAATCCACAAAGATACCCTCACAATAGACTGCTGGCAATTGTCCAGAGACAGCCTGAACCGACCTACTCTGGTGATGGGATGGCCAAACACCCTAATAGTCGTGCCAGAAACTCCATCCAAAGACTGACGAATCTGGATGCAGAGATCGACGGCTAGGCCCAGGGTGGAGCTCCGGGAGTCTAATTAGCGAGAAAGAGGAGGGTTTATATGAGCGAGAATTGTTGAGACCAAGGTTGGATAAAGCACAGGGACAAATAGCCAAACGAATTGAAACACATGAACTATGAACCAATGGCTGAGGGGTCCCCAACTGGATCAGGCCTTCTGAATAGGTGAGACAGTTGATTGGCTTGATCTGTTTGGGAGGCATCTAGGCAGTGGTACCGGGTCCTGTGCTCATTGCATGAGTTGGCTGTTTGAAAACTGGGGCTTATGCAGGGATGCTTGGCTAAGTCTGGGAGGAGGGGACTGTACCTGCCTGGACTGCGTCTACCAGGTTGATGTCAGTCCTTGGGGTAGGCTTTGTCCTGGAGGAGGTGGGGATGGGGAGTGGGCTGGGGGGAAGGGGAGCGTGGCAGGAGGGGAGATAACAAGGGAATCCATGGCTGATGTGTAGAACTGAATGGTATTACAAAATAAAATAAAAGGGGAAAAAACATCAACATCAACAACCCAAAATGGAAAAAAAATGTTATCTAGGTTGTGGAGAAAGCAACCTCTCCCTCATTTATTCTTGTAGAAATTTGAACTTGTATAGTCACTCTGGAAAACAAGATGGAGAATTTTCAAAGACTAAAAATGTATTAACATATGGCTCAGCTATACTACTTGTTGGCATATGACCAAATAACTGACCATCCTAGTCAAGAGATATTTGTTCACTAGTGTTCATTGACACCTTCTTCACAGAAGCCTGGAAATGGAAACATTCCAAATGACGTCCACTGGATGAATGGATAATGAAAATGTGCTACATATACATGAAGGAATACTATTCAGCCTTTTATGTAGATAAAAGGCTAAACTTAGAAAAAGTGAGGCAACATTTGCTATGAAATAATATTTCATTTTTTTTTTTTTTTGGTTTTTTGAGACAGGGTTTCTCTGTGTAGCTTTGTGCCTTTCCTGGGACTCACTTGGTAGTCCAGGCTGGCCTCAAACTCATAGAGATCCGCCTGGCTCTGCCTTCCGAGTGCTGGGATTAAAGGCGTGCGCCACCACCGCCCAGCTAATATTTCATTCTTAAATGTTACTAATTTTGACAATTCAAAGTGTAATTAAGAAAAAGTGATAGGCACAGATTAAATAAATGCATAGTTAAAAATTTGCTTGGATAAATATAACTACTTGTATCAAAACCTGATCAAGATACAAATTACTTCCTTGCCTCTGTGAGTTCCCTCTGTTCCTCCAGTCATAACTCTGCTGTGGAGGTCAGTACTGTCCATATTTGCAATTTAATGCAAAATTGAGAGTGCAAACTAACAGTATATCATCATGTTTGTGTGATATGTGATAAAAATGGTTGTTAAATTTAAATGCACTGACATATACATATATTTACACACACACACATATATATGTATGTACATTTAAAATTTATGTTTCCTTTTCCTCCATATAGCAA